GTGGATACCTTCACTAGTAAGACGCGTTTTGGTGGGTGTGTATTGAAGCCCAGCCAAGAACAAAGTCGTGCGGGTGGCAGAAGTAGCCCAAAGCGGACAATATCTTACTAGGGTCTGCATCACTTTCTCTTTTAACTCAGACCCCAACCAGTTGGGAATATACTTGGTATGTTGTTGTTGTTGTTGTTCTCTTTTAACCATATTTCTGATTCTTTCTCTTTTAACAAGAATTTATCATTTTATGTCTTCAATAAGTTTTGTTTGATAAGACTGAGTTTTTTTAAAAAGTTTGAACTTACTTCATAATCTTTACTAGTGAGAATTCCGTGTGATGCACGAGATTTCGTATTTTAAAACAGTTTTTCAAAACTTTATTTTAACAATATATTAATCCCTCCATTTATATTAATATAAATAATATTTTAACATATATATTTATTTTTGAATACAGAAAAAATATAATATTACATACTTTGGTTCATCATAATATTTAAATATTATTTTATTCGAAATTTTATTGTCGTATAATGTCATTATTATTTATAACTCTTATAGAAGTAATTTTATTTTTTTATCTAATAATAAATATTTATATTGATATTATTTATTGATGTAATTAATTTAAAATTATATAAGCAAATTTCATGTTTATTAGGAATATGATGGAAGGTAAGATAAAATCTATTAATATATAATAAGGATTAAATCAAGGTTTTAAATAGCGGGCTAAAACGTTTATGGCACTGTAGCTATAGCGGAGCTATAGCGGAGATTTAGCGGGATTTAGCGGCTAAATTGCACATGAATACAAATAGCGGCACGCTGCCAAAAAAAACTATTTCTCAAATAGCGGCAACTTTAGCGAGCTATTTATTTCCTGCAAAAGCTATTTCTCAAATAGCGGCACATTAATCTAATTAATTTTTAGCAACTATTTTCCGCCAAAAACATTAATTACTGCCTATAAATAGTAATTTAACATAATTTCATAAAATCACTCTTAATTATCCCCGATTACCATTAATTATTGTAAGGAATGGAATAAAATTATTTTTTCACGCCATTATGGAATAAATCTCCTATTCAACACGTTTGATATTTTTGCAGATTTAATACAAAAATAGTTTATATCTTCTACAAGATAATTCAAGCGTACAAATCCATAAGATACATTTTGTGGCCGCATATCATGCAATTTTGTACAGTTTGCCAACAAGAAAATAAATATTAATATTTCAATTTATCAATTAATTAAAGTTGGACTATCATGTAAAGATTAGTATTTACATTTCTATAAAATACCCAAAATCCTATACCACCTAATTTTTATTCCCTTTCAATACGTTTGTAACTGAAAGCCACTCTCAACAATTAAATTATTTGAAATTAATATATATTAATTTTTTTTTGGAATAGAACGGCAAAGCCGATATTAATTGATTCCTATATATATAGATACCATATTTTATCAACTTCTCCAATTCTGTCCATAAAAAAAATGCATAGAATTTCTGGAAAATATTAAAAAAAAAGAGAGAGTTATTTGATACACTCAATGCTGTTAATAGGTCCAATAAACCTTAATTGATATTGAGAGTCATTCTAATTATTGATATTAAATTTGACGTGGAGTCCAATAATTTTTTTGAGATCATCTTTCTAGATCGTGAGGTAATATTTTGATATGATTATATCTAGATATTACTAACATCTGTAATTTTTTTTATTTAACTT